CTGGAGAGAAAAAAAATATGCTCCAAAACGTATACATTTGTCATTAAATTCTAGTTTCATTGGTTATTTTTAATTTTTTTTTTGCCTACATTTTAGACTAGCCATGCTTATTCCTGTGAATCAAGTAATGATTTCCTGCAGGTTGAGAAAAACAAAAATGTATGGGCAATGTAAAAATCTGGATCAATATGCTAGTTCTGGCCAATTATCCTGCAAATCCTGCCAGGTAATAAATGTGAGTAGGTTGCTCATAAGCCAGAGATTTCTTTGGGAAAATAAAATCAAGGAACTTCATAGACCTTCCAAAAGGGAAATTCTATATCTTGGCACTAAAATTTTAGATGGAATGATCTAATAATCCCACCCTTGTGGAATCGCTACACTCACTCTACTATTTGAGGTAGAGTTATACATGGTAGCACCTTCTAACTGAAATACTGGACAGAGAGTTTCCACTACTGTAGTATTTTGCTTAATTATTATCCTTAGAGCAGGAATAATAGCTACTGACAAGAGGTAAACATGAAGGTTTTACTATCACTGAGTCCACCAGGACTTTTTATTGGGTTTGGTAATATGTCACACCCTAGCTACGCAAAGAAGGTTATAAAGAAAATAGATTTTATATAAGAAATGATCTTGTATGGTAAATTCTTATCCTAAAGAGAATAACTGCTTGTTTAAAAAGAGGGATGTTTAGGAAAAGTCAGAAAGTATAAGCATGTCATAAATGGTCTGTGGAAGTTGTGAAAGAATTAATAATTGCAGGAAAGATTCAGCCAAGGTTAACACTAAAGTTACTCTAGCCACCCAAATCCAATGCCACTTATCCTTCTATATTAACAGTATTAACATTTGTTAATGTTACTTTTATATTAACACTATTAACATTTTAGCAGCACCTGGTGGAGGCAAACCAGTATTACAACCCATCGGAAAGGTGGACAGCAATCAAACTCCAAATGGTACTGTGGACAGAACCATGCATGGACATGCCTTTCTTCTGAGGACCCTTAGACTGACCCCAGGAGAAGCCCTAACTGTCAGGGCACCCCTTTTTGGCAGGAATTAGTCAGAAAGAGTCATTATCTAATACCCCTTAATAACAGTTAGGGTTACCACTCCTCAGGGGGGGAATAAGATAGGAGTGAAAAAGAAATTATTTAGGCAGATAGTGAGGGTAAGGAAGTCCTCATTAAGGTTTTACTTTTAATGAAAAACAGACCCCAAATCATTTTCTTCTCTAACAAAGAGCAACCTGTAAAACTGAGCTGCAGACATAGACAAGTAAGCTAGAAGCTTGCAAAGGTGAATGCTGGCAGTTGTGCCAATAGGAAAAGGCTACCTGGGACCAGGCATGATCAAAATGGTGGCTCTATCTTCCCTTCTCTTTGCCAGCCACGTGTACAGTATGGAGCAGACAAGATGGTGCTGGCCAAGTAGAAAGCCTATTGGCATATTAAGATTAGGGTGGGGTGACAAGCCTTCCCCACACGCTATGTAAACGTCACACCTAGTTGAACCAATCTGTGGACCCTAGACACTGCCTCCTCAAGCTAGCCTATAAAATCTGCTGCAGTCTGTCGCAGGCCGGCTTTTACCTTTTGGATGCTCCTCTCTCTCACAAGAGAGAAAGCTGCTCTCCTCTCTCCTTTCTTCTGCCTATTAAACTTTCCACTCCTTAACCCAACCACGTGTGTCTATGTCTTTAATCTTCTTAGCGTGAGATGATGAACCCTAGGTGTTTACCCCTGACAACAATGCCACTTCACTAAGGATGGGGTGTAGTGGCTCATGTCTATAATCTCAGCATTTTGGGAGGTCAAGTGGAAGGATTGCTTGAGCTCAGGAGTTTGAAACTAGCTTGGGAACATAGCCAGACCTTATCTTTACTAGAAATCACAAAAATTAGTTGGGTGTGATGGTGCGCATTTATAGTCCCAGCTACTCAGGAGGATGAGGTGGGAAAATTGCTTAAGCCTGGGAGGTCAAGTCTGCAGTGATCATGTACTCCAGCCTGGGTAACAGAGTGGGACCCTGTCTCAAAAAGAAAATCCATACAATAAAATATTCAGCCATAGAAAGGGATAAAGTACTAATTCATACTACAATAGGAATTTTGAAAAAATTATGCTAAGTGAAAGAAAGCAGACACAAATGTCCATATATTGTATGGTTCTACTTATGTAAAATGTACAAGATAGCCAAATTCAAAGGCAGAAAGTACTTTAGTGGTTGCCAGAGGCTGGGGGGAGGGGGCAGGTAGAAAAATAAGAAATGAATACTAATGGATATGGAGTTTCTTTCTTGGGGGATAAAAATTTCCTGACAAGAATTCACAAGGGAGGTTCCAAGACAGCTGAATAGGAAAAGCTCCAGTCTACAGCTCCTAGCGTGAGTGACACAGAAGACAGGTGATTTCTGCATTTCCAACTGAGGTACCAGGTTCATCTCAAAGGGCCTTGTTGGACAGTGGGTACAGCCCATGGAGCGTGAGCCGATACAAAGCAGGGCACTGCCTCACCCGGGAAGCACAAATGGTCAGGGAATTCCCTTTCCTAGCCAAGGGAAGCCATGACAGACACTATCTGGAAAATTGGGACACTCCCACCCTAATACTGTGGTTTTCCAACAGTCTTAGCAAATGGCACACCAGGAGATTCTATCCCATGCCTGGCTTGGAGGGTCCCACGCCCATGGAGCCTCGCTCACTGCTAGTACAGCAGTCTGAGATGGAACTGCAAGGCGGCAGTGAGGCTGGGGGAGGGGCATCTGCCATTGCTGAGGCTTGAGTAGGTAAACAAAGTGGCCAGGAAGCTCGAACTGGGTGGAGCCCACCGCAGTTCAAGGAGGCCTGCCTGCCTCTGTAGACTCCACCTCTGGGGGCAGGGTATAGCTGAACAAAAGGCAGCGGAAACTTCTGCAGACTTAAACGTCCCTGTCTGATAGCTTTGAAGAGAGTAGTGGTTCTCCCAGCATGGAGTTTGAGATCTGAGAATGGACAGACTGCCTTCTCAAGTGGGTCTCTGACACTCGAGTAGCCTAACTGGGAGTCACCTCCTAGTAGGGGCAGACTGATACCTCATATGGCCGGGTGCCCCTCTGAGATGAAGCTTCCAGAGGAAGGATCAGGCAGTAACATTTGCCATTCTGCAATATTTGCTGTTCTGCAGCCTCTGCTGGTGATATCCGGGCAAACAGGGTCTGGAGTGGACCTCCAGCAAACTCCAACAAACCTGCAGCTGAGGGTCCTAACTTAGAAGGAAACCTAACCAACAGAAAGGACATCCACACCAAAACTCCATCTGTACATCACCATCATCAAAGACCAAAAGTGGATAAAACCACAAAGATAGGGAGAAACTAGAGCAGAAAAGCTGAAAATTCTAAAAATCAGAGTGCCTGTTCTCCTCCAAAGGAACACAGCTCCTCGCCAGCAACGGAACAAAGCTGGACAGAGAATGACTTTGATGAGTTAAGAGAAGGAGGTGTTACACCTTATAATTTCAAGACTTACAATAAAGTTACAGCATTGTTCTAAGATTGTTCTAGAATTGTTCTAAGAATAAACACATGGGTGGGTTAACAGAATAGAATACAGAGTCCAGAAGTAGACCTTTATAAATTTTTTTAATAAAGGTGCTAACCTTTATCAGTAAGGAAATAACTCTTTTTACCAAATATTTCTGGAATAACTGGATATACACTGAAAATGAATGAACCTCTCAATTTTACCACACAGTATATACAAAAATTACCTGCAGTAGACCATAAACCTAAATGTAGAAACTAAAAACTATAAAATTTTTAGAAGAAAGTATAAGAAACATATTTTGTGACCTTAGAGTAGACAAAGATTTCTTAAATAGGCTTTTTGTGTCCCACCACAAAATTATAAAAGAAAACATTGATGAATTCACCTCCATCAAAATTTTAAAACTTCTACTCTTTATAAAACACTATTAAGAAAATGAAAGACATGGCATAGAATAAGAAAAGATTTATAATACATATATCTAAAACAAAGGACTAGTTTGAATATATATAAAGAACTCTTGGCCAGGTGTGGTGGCTTATGCATGTAATCCCAGCACTTTAAGAAGTCAAAGATGGAGAATCACTTCAGGCCAGGTGTTTGAGACCAGCTTGGGCAACATAGTGAGATATCATCTCTAATATGTAAAAAACAAAATGAAACTACTTCTACAACTCAATAAAAAGAATACAAACCAGAAAGAGTGGTGCATGCCTGTAATCCCAACACTTTGGGAGGCAAGATTACCTGAGGCCAGGAGTTTGAGACTGGCCTGGACAACACAGTGAGACCTCATCTCTACAAAAAAGATTTTTTTAAATTAGCTGGGTGTGGTGCTGCATGCCTATAGTCCCAGCTACTTGAGAGGCTGGGGCAGGAGGATGGCTTGGGCCTGGAAGGTTGAGGCTTCAGCGAGCCAGGACTGGACCCCTGTACTCCAGCCTGGGCAACAGAGTGAGAATCTATCTCTAAAAATAATAATAATAATAAAAATAAAATTTTTTTAAGAATACAGACCACTCCACTGAAAACGTACAAAAGATTTGAACAGATGCTTCACAAAAGAATATATACATGGCCAAAACATATTCATGGTCATTAGACATGCTCAAAAGGCAAATTAAAACTACTATTTACTAGATAAACCCTGGCACTTGCATCAGTCTGTCTTGGGTTTGATTGCTTTGCTCACCACTTCAGAGGCTGATCATGCTGAATATAGTATATACTGTACACACTGGAGCCTACACCTTATTAGTTCTCCATGATACGCTCAAATTGGTTGTATCTTCATAAGATTCTTTTCAGAGAAACAATCTACTATATTCTCCAAATTAATTGTTCTTTATGAGGAAGAAGTGAACAGAAACACATCCCCTGTAGCCCTCTTTCCTCTTCCACTCTAATTAGCTGAGCAATAGAAAAAGACAGCCCAATAAGGAGAGTAGCAAATGATTAGCACCAATTACTCTAGTACGCTCTGTAAAAGTACAACTCAAAAATTAGAAATCAGAAAGAACAGAACTTTAAAATACCATACCTGTTCTCTCTGTTCACCACCCACAGTTTTTCCAGGGGAGTGCTCTTCAAGTTGCTTATTGTCTTGAGATTCACACACCTCTCCTTTAAGTCTTTCAACCTTAAATACAAAAGAAAACATCTTGTAGACTTCTCAATTTTTGTTTGGATAAATCATTGCTTTGTTTTTTAATTATACAAGTAACATACAAATACGCTGTCCTTGTAAAACTTCAACACATAGGTATACAGAATAAAAAACTGTATTTTCCTTGATATTACAACTGTTCCTCCCTTTCCAGAAATAACACTGCTTGGAATGTACCCTACCTGAACTTTTTCATGCATACACACATGTATTAAATATATAAATGGGTTAGATACATAAATTTACAAAGACTTAGACAACTTACCAATCTTCACTTATTTATTCATTCTTTTTATGATTGCATTTTTATTGTGGTAAAATACACATAACACAAAATGTACCATGTTAGCCATTTTTAAGTGTACAGTTCAGTGGCATTAAGCATCATTAAGCATATTATTAAGCACATTGTCAAGCACACTGTTGTGCCACCGTTACCACCATCCATCTCCAGAACGCTTCATCTTGCACTGAAACTCTATACCCATTAAACAATAACTCCCATTACTCCCTCTCCCCAGCCACTGGCAACCACCATTCTATTAATACTTTCTGTCTCTATGACTTTCACTACTCTAAGCATGTCATATAAGTGTAATCATATATTATTTGTCCTTTTGTGACTGGATTATTTCATTTAGAATAATGTCTTCAATGTTCATTCATGTTGCAGCATGTGTATGAATTTCTTTCCTTTTTAAGGCTGAATAATATTCCATTGTAAGGCTATACCACATTTTGCTTATCTGTTCCTCTATCAATGAGCATCTGAGCTGCTTCCACCTTTTGGCTATTGTGAATAATGCTGCTATGAATATGGATGTACAAATATATGTTTAAGTCTCTGTCTTCAATTCTCTGGGGCATATATCCAGAAGTGGAATTGTCAGACCACATGGTGATTCTATATTTAACTTTTAGAGTAACTGTTTTCCATGGTGACTGCACTATTTTAGATTCTCCCCAGCAATGCACAAAGGTTCCAATTTTTCCACACCAACATTTGTTATTCTCTCTTGTTTTGCTAGCAGTCATCCTGATGGGTCTTTAGTCATTCTTACAAAAAAAATTTCTAAAGCACTTAGTATTATGCCAGGTATTTTTGTGGACATTAGATATATGATTATTTAATGAATATAAACTAAAATTGAAGAGATGTATTTAAAATTTGGAAGTACATATTTTTAAAAATCAGTAAATTGCTAAGAAGAAATGGTTAAAAATATAAACAATTAAAGATTTAGTATTAATAATCTTAAACTTATCCAATATAATAGGGTAATATTTTCTATGTGGTGAACGTGTTAACTATAAACTATTATCTAATCCCTTATTTAAAAGATCCTAGATTTACATATAGCAACAATGTTGCTGTGTAGCATAGGTAGTTAAAATGTATAAAATGTAAGTACTGATAGAATATATCTAGGTCAAAGCATGGCATCCCGCTGAGATGTTACAGCCCCCAGTATTGGTCCCTGCTAAAGACCAACCTACATGTTGTATATCTGTGTTGCTTATGCTGTTGATTGTTATGGTAGACACATTTAAATAAGTTCTAAGAAGTAAATTAAACTTACCATTTCACCAAGCACCTTTTTTTCTGAGTCAAGTGATCGAACCCTATTTCTTAAAGCCAGAATTTCCTCATCCAGTCTCTGATTGTGTTCCTTTGCTTTCTGTAGGTCAGCTGCATCTAAAACAGAGAAGAACACAGTTTACTCAACTGGATCAAAGTTTTAGTTTTAGGGGCACTAACTCTAAAAACAAAGGAAGTGCTATTGCCTGCCCTTCTTGTTAGTCCTATCGTGTCTCTGCATATGTGGCTGGCTCTCTATGCAGGAGAGCCACAAGGCTCTCAAGTCTAGTCCTAGAATATTCTACCAACCCAAAGAAACAACAGAGAAAGTTTTATATTACTCACACCAGACCAATGAATTGGACTTTTTGAGTGAAGGGTTTCCAGCAATAGAGGTTCTTCTAGGACCTAGAATTTTAAAACAATTTAGCCTAGCTTAGCTTTTAAAAGTTAAATGACCAAAAAAATGGTCTTCCTACATGCCTTTCAGTCCTGTCTCTTTTACATACCTCCTAGTCCATTTGTTTACAAATCTATTCTTAGAATAATTCCATGCTGTAGCTTTACTGTAAATCTTGAAATTGTAAAGTGTTAACACCTTAACTTTTATTGATCACAAATGGAACATAGGCTTTTTGTTAATCAAGCTACATGGTTTTGTTCAAAGTGAATATTTTTATCCCACCTTCAGCTGGTACCGTGTCCCAAAATAATATTTTTAACACATAGTAAATATTTTCAGAAATATATATATATATTTATAGTAATATACAAACAGACAAAGTTGTGTTAAAAATATTTAACAACTGGTTAAGCATGCACCCTCATCTATAAGAATGTAGCTCTGAAGTAGAGTTCTAGAGAACATTTTGCTGTGCTAAATATTATCTCTTTAGTGGCTGGGAAGACATGGGGCTGGAAGGAGCTAAGACAATTAGGGCAGGTAGGAATGTTTAGAAGACTCAGGACAACAGCTAGTTATAAGTCAACACAGAATTATTCCAGTACCTTCACAACTTTACTGCCATACAAGTATATACCAGCTCACAGTAGTCCTGTGGGTACACACACACAAACTCCACAAATAAAAAACCCAAATGACATTATACCACACATCTTACTCTACAACTTACCTTATTCACTTGATAATATATCACAGAAATCTATTCATGTCAATGCACACTTGGCTCCATGTCATCTTTAATATCTGCAAAGTATGCTTTGTATAGTCACTTATTTAACAATCTATTATTGGTAAACATACTGCATTTAATTTTACTACCCAACAAGTTATTTCTTATTCTCTGTACTTCTTTGTTAACTGGCCACTTAAAAAAGTGGGAAGTATTCTCTCTTCTTCCATTTTCTGGAAGAAATTATATAAATTTAGTATTATTTATTCCTTAAATAATTCCTCTTATTAGAATTCACTAATGAAGCCATCTGAGCCTGGAGTCTTCCTCATGGGAAGATTTTTATTTTTATTTTTATTTTTATTTTTCATTTGAGTCCGTCTTGCTGTGCCCAGGCTGGAGTGCAGTGGTGCAATCTCACTGCAGCCTCCACCTCCTGGGTTCAAGTGATTCTCTTGCCTCAGCCTCCTGAGTAGCTGGGATTACAGGCATAGGCCACCACACCTGGCTAATTTTTGTATTTTTAGTAGAGACGGGGTTTCACCATGCTCGCCAGGCTGGTCTTGAACTCTTGACCTCAAGTGATTCACCCTCTCGGCCTCCCAAAGTGCTGGGATTACAGGCATGAGCCACCATGTCTGGCCCATGGGAAGGTTTTTAACTAAAAATTCTGTCTCTTTACATAGATTTAGAGCTATTTCTTCTCAGGTGAGGTTTGGTGGTTTGTGTCTTTTAAGGAATGTGTCCACGTCATCCAGGTCGTCAATTTATTGGCATAAAGTTTTTCATAATATTCCCATATTATCTTTTTATTCTGTAGAAATATTCTGTTATTTTTTATACTGGTAGTTTGTGAGTTCTCTCTTTTTTCATGACCAATCTAGTTAGAAGTTTGTCAATGTTGTTCTCTCTGAAGATGCAGCTCATGGTTCCACTGATTTACTCTATTGTGGTTCTGTTTTAGTTTTGTTGATTTTTTTTTTCTTTTTTGAGATGGAGTCTCGATCTGTCACCAGACTGGAGTGCAGTGGCACTATCTCGGGTCACTGCAACTTCTGCATCCCAGGTTCAAGCGACTCTCCTGCCTCAGCCTCCTGAGTTAGCTGGAATTACAAGCGTGCGCCACCACGCCCAGCTAATTTTTGTATTTTTAGTAGAGACGGGGTTTCACCATGTTGGCCAGGATGGTCTTGATCTCTTGACCTTGTGATCCACCTGCTTCAGCCTCCCAAAGTGCTGGGATTACAGGCGTGAGCCACCGTGCCCAGCCACTTTTGTTGATTTTAGCTCTTATTTTAATATCTCCTTCCTTCTGCATGCCTTGGATTTAATTTTCTCTTCTTATTCTGTTCTTATTCTTCTTATTATTATTATATTTAATTATTTTTTTTATTCTTATTCTGCTCACCTTATTCTGGGTTTCTGAGGTATAGACTCAGATTATTTTGAGTCCTTTCTTGATTTCTAATATAAGCATTAAATATTATAAAATTCCCTCTAAGTACTGATTTAGCTATGTCACAGAAATGATGATATTGTTGCAGTTTCATTTTCTTCAATTCAAAATATTTTCTAATATCTCTCTTAATTTTTTTCTCTGAAGGCATAGTCTTTTTATAAATATCTTTTTAGGCCAGGTGCAGTGGCTCACGCCTGTAATCCCAGCACTTAGGGAGGCTGAGGCGGGTGGATCACGAGGTCAGGAGTTCAAGATCAGCCTGGCCAACATGGTGAAACCCCGTCTCTACTAAAAATACAAAAATTAGCTGGGTGTGGTGGCAGGTTCCTGTAATCCCAGCTACTCGGGAGGCTGAGGCAGAGAACTGCTTGAACCTGGGAGGCAGAGGTTGCAGTGAGCCGAGATCATGCCACTATACTCCAGCCTGGGCAACAACATGAGAATCCATCTCAAAAAAAAAAAAAAAAAAAATTTGTAATTTCCAAATATTTCCAACTAACCTACTTCTGTTACCAATTTTTAGTTTAATTCCATTATAATCAGAGAACATAATTTGTATTTCATTTTTTTCAGAGAGATTTACTTTATGGCCCAGGATGGCCTCTCTTTTTTAAATTTTGAACTTTAAATAGATTCTTGGACCAGTGCTTCATATCCATCAGCTAATTCGACTTTAGGACCTGTCTCATCCCCAGTAGCTTTTCCAGAACAATTACCTTCATGAATTTTCCCCAACCAAACTTGGGTATCTTCAGCATTTTTACTTTTCTAATAAAGACATCATGGAGAAGATAACTAGATTGGCAAAGCTTTTCTCTTTTCCAGTGCTGTCTGGAATCAATCTATTGACCACTTCTTTCAAGTCATTCGCACCTTTCAGGTCATAATTTCCATCATCTTCTTCTGGATTTTGCAGACCTGTTGGTGCTGAGCATAAGAGGCCTTCTGTGTCAGATTGTTGTGCTTTTTAGTAAAATCAACACAGAATAGATGAAACAAATAATCATCAGTAGTCTTGACATCAGCGTGAGGTTCAATCATGGTCTGCCTTTTTTTGACAATGGAACACATTTTGTCACGGGTAAATCTATGCCCTGGAAGTTAGTCAGTTTTTGTCCTGAACATCTTCAGCATCAGCTTGAATTTTCTAAACGCAACTTCATCATTCTGCAGATCAGCAAGACTCACTTCAAACACACGACCCCTGAGGCTATTAGATGCAATTTTGGTTCCTTGAGTCCTGGTGACTAGCGTCTCTCCAATATTTCTTATATTGAACATAGCGAGTGCTTTTACATCACACCAATCTTTCTTAGAAAATGGATCAACCACTTTATTTTTGGCTCCCTTTTTGCTACCTTTCATAAGGTGCTTGTTCTTGCCAACAGCCGTGGTGCTGCTCACAGAGCCAAAGGCTACATGAGATGTTTTGATACAGGCATGCAATGCGTAATAATCATGTCATGGAAAATGGGTTATCCATCCCCTCAAGTATTTATCCTTTGTGTTACAAACAATCCAATTATACTCTTTAAGTTATTTTAAAATGTACAATTAAATTATTATTGACTGTAGTCACCCTGTTGTGCTATCAAATACTAGATTTTATTCACTCTTTCTTTTTTTACCCATTAGCCATTCCCTGCCTCCCGCTGAAACTGCCCCTCTACTCTCCTTCCCAGCCTCTGGTAACAATCTTTCTGCTCTCTATGTCGGTGAGTTCAACTGTTTTGATTTTTAGATTCCACATATAAGTGAGAGCATGCAATGTTTGTCTTTCTGTGCCTGGCTTATTTCTGTTAGCATAATGACCTCCAGTTCCACCAGGATGGTCTCTCTTGGTGAATGTTTCATGGGTATATGAAAAGAATGTGTGTTCTGTTTCTATAAATATCAATTAGGTCATTTTGATTGCTAGTATTTTTAGGGCTTTTATATCCCTACTGATTTATTTCTGTTTACTTGTTCTATTAATTACTAAAAAAGCAGTATTCATTTTATAATTGTACTCATATATTTTTAAAAGGAGGGATGCCTAGTTGTAGAATTATTTAAAAACTGGTAAACATATTTAAAAATTTTTTAGCTGTTACCATTCAAATATTCAAATTTCATTATATTATTGCTAACTGGTAGCATTTTTATATAGGCAAGCTAGGGTCAGATTAATTCACCACTGATTCAAGCTTACTGGCTTCCCAGTGAACAAATATGTATAAAGTATTGTTAAATGCATTATAAAGTATATTGGTATCAGTGGTCCCAGTAAAAGATGCATGATTTGTGTTGATCACAGGTTTGGGAGTCAGACATACAAAGATTCAAATACCAGCTCGGGTACTTATTGTAGCTATTGGATAACTCACTTAACTTTGCCATGACTCAGTTTGCTTACCTAAGAAAAGGGGATACTACTACTCACTACTTGGAACTGCTATGAGGATTAGATGAGATATGTGTATTCAGGGTAGTATGGCCACAGACTGTTGTGAAGATTAGAGATAAAGCATGTGAAGTGCCTGGCAGAGTACCTGTCACTTAGTAAGCACTTAGTACCTGTCACTATTAAATGGTAGTAGTAGTGGAAGTAATAATAACAGTAGTAGCAACAGCAATAACAGTAGTAGTACTCATTATTTTAATTCCAAAATATTATTATTTTAAAACCTATTATTAATGTATATTATATTATTTCTTAATGTATTATTATTAAATAATAATTTTTTAAAAAATTTATTCTTTTGAGATGGGGTCTTGCATTATTGCCCAGGCTGGAATGCAGTGGCACAGACATGGCTCACTGCAACCTCCAACTCCTAGGCCCAAGCCTCCCAAGTCTTTGGGACTGCAGGCATGTACCACCGTTCTTGGCTACTAAATAATAACTATTATATCTTCTAGAATGACTTACCATTTTCTTTCTGCTTTACCAAATTTTCCTTCAATTTGTCAATTTCTAGTTGAGCCTTCTTAAGCGCAGAATCTACAAAAAGAAACAAAATATTTGTATAAGGAACAAATGATTCGTATAATAATTAAATTTCCAATGACTCTCTCTCTCTGGAACACTTTCTTTCACCTGGCTACTGCCCTGGAGTTTCTGCTTAAATGTCAGCTCCTCAGGGAATTTTCCCAGACTTCCCTCTTAGAGTTCCTACTGCACCCTATATTTAGCCCTATCCCTGCTTATCTGATCTCGTAATTGTCTTTCCCTAATAGTTTCCTCCATCAGATTTCATGATTAAGAGGAATTTAAACCACTGTAAACAATGGGAAAAGCCGAAAGTTTTTAGGCATGGTACTACCAGTTTAGTGAAAAGAAACTACACCCAGAAAAAAGTAAAAATAATTCCTGCAATCAGTCATATTTAGAATTTTGCCAATAGCTGCTAGAAATATCAAAATAACAAAATTTCAGGAAATAGCTTTTGATACTATGCGAGAATTGTATAAGGATGGCACAATGATATTTAGGAAGACATGACGCATTGGAGTCTATTTGATTTGGGTTCTCTACTTCAGGTTTTATCCCTTTGTCTCCTGTGGTCTCCTCATCACCAGCAATATTGCTGGTGGATCTCCTATATTATCAGAATGAAGAACCTCCCAGAAGTAAGAGACTAACATGAATTTTATAACAGGTCACTTCTAACCACAGAGTGAGTTCATCAGCACAATTGTGAAGGTTTTATTATTACATCTGTTAACACTCAGTTCTTTAGAGTAAATCCCAGGATAACCTACCAGATTCACCTAAAACTGTATTCCTAATTATAGCAATACTATTACTACTACTGTTACCATAGCAGCAACTAGCAGTGCCAGATATATGTATCATCATAACAAAGCTGCAAAGTAGATATTCATGCTTCCATTTTATAGATGAGATAAGCAAGACTCAGAAAAGTTAAGCAACTTGCTTAACATTACACAACTAGTAAACGGTATGACTGGGATGTGAACCTAGGTCTGTTTACACTGAGCCAGAGATGTAAAAATAGCTTCTGTTTTACTAAAAGAACAGTTTTCCAAATGTATTCCTCTATGGAAGAAGGAGAGAAAGTAAAGTGAGGGCAGGTGGAAAGGATATTCTACAAAGAGGGAATAACATGAGTAATACAGGAGGTAGCACAGAACAAAGGAGACGACATAGGAGGAGACACTGAGTAGTTCAGGAACTACATATAGTCTAATACTGCCCAGTCTGTAGTGCAGAGAATTAGGGAAGTGTGGGATATGAGCTGAATACATAGGCAGAGGCCAAACCAGAAAGACCTTATTTGCTATACAAGAGAGCTCAGAATTTATTATGTGAACAGGGGCTTCCTAACTGTATTCTGTGAACCTCAGAGTTCTGAAGAGGTACTTCAGGTGTTCTGAAAACATTTGACTTAATTGCTATTTGAAAAAAAAAAAAAACTATTTTTGGAATAGCACACATAGTGAAGTATATTGCTCCAAATTTAAATAATATCGGACTACCAAATTTATTAACTTGTATCGTCAGGTTAGTTTCTGCCATGTTTGTGAAGATACTTGAAAACTATAGCTTTCTGGGGTTGGGCACAGTGGTTCACACCTATACAACACTTGGGAGGCTGAGGCATAAGGATTGCTTGAGGTCAGGAGTTTGAGACCAGCCTGGGCAAGTAAAACCCCCTTCTCTACAAAAGATTTAAAAATCAGCCAACTGTGGCACTACACGCCTACAGTCCTAGCTACTCATGAGACTGAGGCAGGAGGATCACTTGAACCCAGGAACTCAGTGAGTGAGTGATGATCATGCCACTGTACTCCAATTTGGGCAACAGAGTGAAACCCTATCTCTAAAAAAAGAAAGAAAAAAAAAAAAGAGAAAATTGTAGCTAGTTGTAGCTTTCCAATAGTCCTCTTAAACCAGTAATATTTCTAAAATTGTATTGGTTGTAACTGTTCTTGAGATCTCTCTATCAGATTAACAGTTTTACTTTCTTAGTGTATTTCTAAGTCTCTTTCTAAGTCTGGTTAGCATAGATTAAAAAAAAAAACTTTTTTACTGATGGAAAATTTCATATACATACAAAAGTAGCTAGAACAGAGTTATGGTAATACCTACATCCATCACCCAGTTTTTAACAATCACCAACTCACGGTCAATCTTGTTTCACTTATACCCTTACCTATTATATTAATTTTCTAATGTTGTATAACAAATTACCACAAACTTAGTGGCTTACAACAGCATCCATCTACTAGTTCACAGTTCTCTAGGTCAGGAGTCTGGGCATGGTGTGCCTGAGTTCTGTGATCAAAGTCTTACAAGGCTGAAATCAGGCTGTTGGCCAGGCTATGTTTCTCTCTGAAGGCTCTGGAGAAGAATTCATTTCCAATCTGATTCAGCTTGTTAGCTGAATTCAGTCCTTGAGGGTGTAAGACTGAGGTCCCCATCTCCTTGCTGACTGTCAGTTGGAGGTCTCTCTTGGCTCTTGGAGGCTGCCTGCATTCTTTGTCACGTGATCTTCTCCATCTTCAAAGTCATTATTTCTTTTTTTAAGTCATTAATGAAGAGTCTCCCTCATGTTAAATCCCTCTTGCACTTCAAATCTTTTTTGCCACGAAATGTCCTGACTCTTTCAAGAGCTCACCTGATTAGATCAGGCTCATGCAAGAAAATCTCCCTTCTTTAAAGTCAGTTGGTTTGGGACCATAACTACACTTACAAAATCTCTTCACAGCAGCATCTAGATTGTATTTTGTTGAATCACTGGGAAAAAATGTGTATATACCGGGGGTGGGGCTCTTGGAAGCCACCTTAGATTTTCACCTAATATACTTATTTCCCCCAGTTCTTATATTTTTAACAGCTTTATTGAGGTACAGTTTACATACCTTAAAAATGACTTATTTCAAGTGGACAATTCAATGGTTTTTAGTATATCTACAGGTATGCCACTATCACAATCGAATTTTAGAACATTTCCATCACCCTATTAAGAAAATCATACCCACTTAGTCCCAATTCTCATCCCTAGCCCTAGACAACCACTAATCTACTTTCCTTTTTTTTTTTTTTTTTTTTTTTTTTGAGACAGGGTATCACTATGTTGCTCAGGTTGGACTCAAACTCATAGGCTAGGTGATTCTTCTGCCTCAGCCTCCCAAGTGGCAAGTAGTTGGGGACATAGGCATGTGTTACTGTGCCCAGCTATGCCAATCTACTTCCTATCTCTATAGGATTGCCTTTTATGTGCATTTCATCTCAGTGGAATCACACAATACATGATCTTTTGCATCTGACTTCTTTCACTTAGCTTGTTTTTGAGATTCATCAATGTAGCAGGTATAAGTACTTCCTTCCTTCCTTTTTACTGGCAGATAGTATTATATCATATGAGTATCAGGAGTCCTCAAGATCACCCCCAGATTTGGTGATATGCTAAGAGGACTCACAAGACTCAACATATGTTCATACTCAAAGCTAAGATTTCCTACAGCAAAAAGATGAAGCAAAATCAAAAAGATGAAGCAAAGGGAAAGGATGCACAGGGCAAAGGCCAGAAGAAACCAGGAACAAGCTTCCAAGAGTCTGCTCCCAGTGGAGTCACACAGGATATGTCTCCAGCAGTAAACTGTGACAATACATGTAAAATGTTGTCTACCTGGGAAGCTCATGAAAGACTCAGCACCTAAGGTTTTGTTGAGGGCTGGTCACACACACACTTTCTGCCTAGCATATACCAAGACTCTTAAAGGAAAGCAGGTATTCTGCATGGACCACATTGTATAAACAGCTTAGGTACAGTGAGCCACTATTGGTTAAGGAATGGTGGAAACCCTCCCAAAATCCAAGTTCTCAGATGTCAACCAGATGCTTGTGACTGTTATAGCAGTCCTTTCTCTAAGGATAGCAGCAGTGTTGGATGTGCTGTTAGCTACTTTCTGCCCAGTATGGATATACTGCATTTTGTTTATCAGTTCACCAATTGACAGACATTTTGGTTATTTCTAACTCTTGGCTATTGTAACTAATAGTGCTATGAACATTTACATACAAGTCTGTGTTTCTCCTGGGTAGATAGCTAGGAATGGAATTTCTGGGTTGTGTTTAATATTTTGAGAAACTGTTAAATGTTTTCCAAAGTATCTTCACTATCTTACCTTCTTACCAGCAATGTATAAGGGTTTTAATGTTTCCACATCCTTGCCAACAATTGTCACTGTCTGTCTTGTTTAGCACAGCCGTTCTAGTGGGTATGAAGTAGACTCTCATTGTGGTTTTGCTTTGCACTTCCCTAATAACTAATGGTATCGAACATCATTTTTTTAATCGACAAATAATAATTATATACGTTTATGGGGTACAATGTAATGTTTTGACATATGTTTATATTGTGGGGTGATTAAATCAAGTTCATTAACACATCTACCACGTCACATACCTATCAATTTTTGTGATGGGAGGTGCTGAGCATCTTTTCATGTGCCTGTTGGTCATTCACATATCTTCTTCCTGGAAATGTCTTTTCAAATCCTTTGCCCGTGTTTTTTCTTTAAGACAGGGTCTCACTCTGTCACCCAGGCTGGAAAGCAGTAACAATCATTGCCCACTGCAGCCTTAAACTCCTGGGCTCAAGCCATCCTTCCACCTCAGCCTCCCAAGTAGCTAGGACTACAGGCACATGTCATGACGCCCAGCCCCTTTGCTCATTTTTAAATTGGGCTGTCTTTTAATTATTAAATTGTAAGAATTTGTTACATATTCTGGATATAAGATCCATATCAAACACGATTCACAAATATTTTCTTCTAGTCTGTGAGTTGTCTTTTCACTTTCTGATGGTATGTTTTAAAGTGTAAAGGTTTTAAATTTTGATTTAGTCCAATGTATTAGTTTTTCTCTTCACTTTTGCTTTTGGTGTCATATTTAATGTATCACTGCTTAACCCAAGATCATGAAGATGTATTCCTTGTTTTCTTCTAATAGTTTTATAGTTTTAACTTACATTTAGCTCTGCAATCCATTTTGAATTAATTTTTGTGTAGCTGTAGAGACCTGTATTATTTTGAAGCAAATCCTAGACATCATTTCATTCACTTATGAATGTTTCACTATATATCTCTAAAAAATAAGAACTATTTTTTAACAAAAATTTAACAATTCTTTAATTCATATGTCTAGCAAGTGTTCAAATTTCAAATTGTTTTATAAATGTTAAAAATTTGAATCAGGATTCAATAAAGGCCACACATCATAATTGGTTAATAAGTCTCTTAAATCTTTAAAAATTCATCTTTTTTCTTGATATTCATTTGTCAAGGAATAAATATTTTATATGAATTCTTTTTCATTCTTGAAAAAATTATCATTGAAAAAATTTTTCATTTTCATCCAAATTTTATGATGTGATAGTGAGTTAAAGAATAAACTAAAGAGAGCTAAAGGGATTTATTTTAAAAAGAGTTTGTTGAAAGAAACAAGCTAATACTTGGGAAACACTGTCATATTACACATGCCTAGCTACAAATTCTGCTGTAAGTGGATGACTCAGGAAGTTACAGATGGTGCACACATTGATACTGCACACAACATTCCAAAAGGACTTGCTAATTCAGCTTCCTAAAAGTCCTAACAGACTCACTGTAGAGGTGGCTTTCAATTGATACGTTTGGGATTTACCCTACAGAGCAACTGCTGATAGAAGAGATTGCTATGTGATTGTGTTGTGTTGTGTCCAAATATAACCACTATGGGTGCTGAATATCCTGCTTTTCCTTTTTCCTCTTGTATTGCAAGCAGCAAATATTGCTTCTCATCACGCTCATGTGGCCAAATTTATTTTCTTTTTAAATTGTGTTTACTGATAAATTGCATACAGTAAAATTCACCCTTTTAAGTGTATAGTTTGATGAATTCTGACAAATATGTACAATTGTATATCCACCAACCCAAACAGGATATGGAACATTTCCATCATTCTGAAAAGTTATTTGTGTCCACTGTTTAAAATGTATTTATAAAAAATTTACATCCTGATATTCTGTTTTTTTATTATTTGTTATTAATCACACAGTTTGGCGTAATCATTGTTGTTTTATACATTTAACATTTTTAATGTTTATGATTCTGAAGTAACCTATATATTGTATTTGTAAAAGAATCAGTCACGGATTAAAAATATAGAAAGGAGATAATTATAATTTAAAAATTTTATACTAAATTCTAGATAAAGCAAAGATGTAAATATAAACAATAAAAGTACCCCCCCCAAAACCAGGGTAAATATCTTCAATAATCTTGTAGTGAAGAAAAGGCTTTAAACATGAAAACTCAGAAGGCATAAAGAATAATTCACTTAAACCCAACTTGATCAATATTAGCATTTATAGTAAAAAAAATAACAACAACAACATAACATTTATAACCAACAAAAGGCTGATATCCACAATATATAAAGAACTCCCACAAATAAATAAAATAGGAAAAATATACAAGAGACTTGAGCAGGAACTTCACAAAGTTGTATATCCAAATGAGTAACAACAACAACAACAAACATACGAAAAGATTTTCAACTTAATTAGCAGTCAGGGAATACCAATTAAAGCAACACTTAAATACCACTATGCACTCAACATAAAAGGTGAAGTGAATAAGACCGATAGTACCAAGTATTGAAAACCAAGGTGGAGGAACTAAAATCTCACATACAATTGAAGAAAGCTTAAATTAGTATAACTACCTTGGAAGACCAAAGTAGAACCTGCCCATAACCCTTGGATTCAGTAATTCTACTCTTACCACAATCAGAAATGTGTAATAAGCACACTGAGACATATACCAAAATGTTTATAGCAGCAATATTTATAATAGACAAAAACTGACAACACAATTGTCCATCAGTAGAACAGATAGATTGTAGTATGTTTATTAATGAAATATTATAAACAGCAGAGTGAACAAACAACTGCTACATATAACAAAATGAATGAATCTTGTAAGACTGAGCAGGAGAAGCAAACCTTAGAAGGCATACTGCATGTAGTCAAACACAGAAACTGCATTCAAAGTCAGGACAGTAGTTACTCTGAAGGAGGAGGAAGGATGTAGAGACAGAGAGAAGGAACACAGCGGGCTTCTGAGAGGCTGGGAATTTCTTGTGGTGAGTGGTAAACACTTATGAGTTGTGAACTTTTGGTAGATATGTTTGGGCTTTGACAAAAATTCCTAGCATGGTAGAAAACGAGGCTGTTCATCACTTCTATGTGTTTATCTTAAAGACTTTTTTCTCAGTGTTTTTTTTCTCATGTTCCACCCTGAGATGAGACCAGTACAGTTAAAGCATGATCAGAAATGGTCATCTGAAACCACAGCTTACCTAATTTACACTGTTCTTTCTCCTTCACTTGTAGTTCATCAGTGAGTCTTTGAATCTCTTCATGGGCCACCCCTAACTTCTTTGCTACTTGTTCCATTCCTTTTCCTAGGTAGTTTTGTGATGTTTTGTCTTTTTCCAGGTCTTCATTATGAGACTGAAATAAAACTTCTGTTAGTAATAAAACAAAGAGCAAATGTACTCTCATGACATTTTGCTATTTTCTATTAATGTTTTAAAGAAAATTAGCAAACAATATCTATGTGTATTTCTGTGTGTGTGTGTGTGTGTGTGTGTGTGTGTGTATTTCTTTTCTTAGGTTGAACCAAACAAAACTGGTAATATTTGATTGTTTTTACTTATGAAAATGCAGTTTCATATGGTTCAACCTAACATCCAAGACATATAAGCGTATTGTTATATTGCTTTGCAGTATTTTTTATTCATATACATTTTTACATAGTCATAATACTAATACATGTACAAGTTTCTGTCTGGCTTTTTAAATTTAACATTATACAGGAACACCTCTTTGTAAATTCCTGTACAGATTTTGTAATGACAATTTTTTTTTTTTTTTTGAGATGGAGCCTCGCCCGGTCACCCAGGTTAGAGTGCAATGATGCAATCTCAGCTTACTGTAACCTCCGCCTCCCAGGTTCAAGCGATTCTCCTACCTCAGACTCCCAAATAGCTGGGATTACAGGCACGCACCACCACGACCAGCTCATTTTTTGTATCTTTAGTAGAGATGTGATTTCACTATGTTAGCCAAGCTAATCTCGAACTCCTGACCTCATGATCTGCCCACCTTGGCCTTCCAAAGTGCTGGGATTACAGGCATGAGCCACTGCGCCCAGCTTGTAATGATAATTTTTAAAGGCTGTATTGTGTTCCAGCATGGCTATAATATTATTTCTGTCTCACTTAAAAATTTGGATAGCTTCCGATTTTTGCTATTGAAAATAATACTGTGATGTACAGTCTAATCTTGGGTTATCTCCCATGCTTAAATTCATAGTGTACACTTTATTCACCAGACTTACCTATTAATAACATTTCTCTAGATCAAAAACATTAAATTCCATGAACAGAATTGAATATATTTAAAATAATGTACTATATACTCTAAAGAACTCCTTAAAAGGTGAACTACAAACATATTTGTAAATAAAAAATATGTATAGTCCCAAGGTGATTTTTTTTTTTTTTTTT